TTCAACAGGTCGATCATATTTGGAACCTATATTTGTTAGGAAACCTCGTATTTTGTGTACCGTAGTCATGCCTACATGGTTCCTAATTAGCGATGCTGTATGCATTTATACCGACAGCCGACAGACCATTCCAAACCGGACATGTAGACGTATATCATTATCATGTTCCGATGATATATGGGTGGGAGTCTAGCACTCACTACTCAACGTATCAAATCGATTTGAATGCATTTCACAAAATCATTTAAGATAAGTAGTATATGAATAAATCTATAAGTTTGCCGTGGAAGCACTAGACTGGTACGGCGGCTGTTACCAGGGGGTTTCAAGCAATAGTCCAAACTATTTGCCAGATAAAATTGAACTCTGACCTCGGCTTCGATAATGTTTTGGTCTGTGGTCACTCCAAATATCATGATGCCACCAACGTGATTGAGATTGTTGTTCCATAGCCATAAGCAATCAGCTATCGAGATCAACATGGCCGTATCTGGTGCTAATCTTGTTTGACTATGTGAAATGTTCTCTGCTATTACTCGTCTAGATGTAGAGATGTTTTGCTAAACTGACTTTTGTATTCTTACTAAATGTTTGATGAGCAAGTGGCTATGAAGGATATTGTTAAGGGCAATTGGTTACGGTAGTAAATTCATGTATCAAAGGATAATTTTTGGTCGGTTTCAATCACTATACGATAGAAGAGTATAGTGTGGAAATGTGGGTATGCATCTCACTTTGCTGGTTCTAAGACGCGAATAGAATGTAAAATAACGCTTTATCCCTTGACGGAATTCATCTCCAGTCATGCCACCCAACCACATTCATAGACCGAATTGACATCCCACAATGAGGCTGGAGATAACACGCAAACACTTCATTGCCTACGAACTGTGTCATCAGATTCCATGTGTGCCCCTGAAGATTTTGGTAAAATATAGCTGTACGCATTTAGAAGTTAGACTCGAAATCGGTAGGATTGGAGTGTAATGCAGTCTCGCACATGGTCTACCGTCGCTAACATTCATCGAACAGGTTGTCATTGGTCTCTCTTTCCATGCGAAATACAAGCATCCACTGGTGGATCGAGTTCCGGCAACTGTATGAGTCATCTGTGACAGTTGATCGATCACATGATCGCAATCGCGCACGCTCCTTGCTGTCCGCCCTATTAGTTGACTTCTCGTGGGCGGCGGACACACTTCGTTGTCCCGTTTTACCTTCTGTGTGGATCGGACCTGAGTGCGTTCAGGCCACTCAAGCCGATACTTCGGTGTGTTTCCTTATCGCTATGGCACAACGAGGACAACGACCATGAAGATGTACACGAACCGGACAGGATACAAACTTTACGCCGACATCCTTTTCCATAATAAGTGCCGCTCCGGTGTGATTTCCGTCCGCATGAGAGTTCCCTTATTGGCTTGCTAATAGTCCAACTCACTCATTCATTGCATCGTTCCTGACTCAAAGTGAACAAAGTGTTAATGGTATCAGGTCCACATGCACAGTGAGTGGGACGAAATCTTGCAAGTTTCACTACATGAAGCTACTGAGAATCTGCAATCAGAGGAAGAAGACAAGCGCAACATGTCATCTGAAACATCTACACCACACTCATGGCGGGTGTTAAAGTAAATATTTCACTGAAATCGGCAACTTCTATGACCAGTTTTAACGAGGCACAAACCAGCGATGTAAAGATGTTTTTCTTTTGCAAAAGGTCAAACAATCACGGACCGGGGGTGTTCAATCGTCGTCGTCGTCGTCGTCGTACTACTACTACTACTGTGCTGTCTATCCCGTTGACCAATGTAGAAAAACGTTTTACCTGAAGTACCGTGAACAGCTGTTTGCCACCAGTCGGATTGTAAAGACCTGGGGACAACAAGGTGCACTGTTTAAACAGCATGTGTGTGTGTGGCAAATAGTTAATAATGATTCTATGTGTGTGGAGATTCGTCCGACACAAAAACGAATTTATCTGAGTTTGTTCGATGTTTTTCTGTTTGAAAAAACACTGCACAAAATGAGGCTGATGTAAAGAAAACAGTGGTGTCCATCTGCATACCACGCGTCTGGTACACTTTTAACTAAACAAAAACAGAATGTTTTCGCTCCAATACTTAAACAATATACATATTCCACATTTTATTTAGTTCCAGCAAAATCTGAAATTTCGGGTAAATCACATAAATTTGTATGTATAAATAAGCTTGGCGAAGCATCACGATAAGTATCGATCAAACTCGTGTGAAACGCCCCTCGAATTAAGAAATATATTTCCTTTTTCAACATCCCACGTGCGTTTGATAGCCATGAATCGCGAGCATTTATGCCCAACTCCATCTATTTTGCCGCCGTTTAATTGTCCGATGAAATTTGTCGTATTTTGAAAGTTGCAATTCAAGATTGAAAAATTGTTGACGCATGGAAGTCCATGCGTTCTGAAACGAAAGTACACACTACCTAATGAAGATTGCTATGCTAGTTCATCTAAATATTTTAGAAGCAGAAATTTTTGACGAAGTATTGAAAATCGGTTCTCGCAGTTCGGTTGAACTGAATTCCATTTCGCCTGTTCGTCAAGCAATAGGTATGCAAAATTTCATTATCACCAGACTCGGTAACATCATCATCACAAGCACTGATGATGTCACCTCGGCTGATGATGAAACGTTTAGAAACGAATTGCCAATTGGTTGGCTAACAGGCGAAATGGAAAGCACAACTTTTTTCATACGGTAAAAAGTAAAATCACAATAAATGATAATATTTCCTCTTAAATGAATTTAAAAATTATCTGACTACAAACTTCCCACGTAAATTCTTTCATCACGAAGGGAGTGAAATGTATAGAAGTGGAAATTCACCTTAAAAATTTCACTTCGAGGTGCGTAGCTCGATGAATAAGCGGTTTTATAAGGTCACCACGTCCAAAACGGATGGGAGAAGCAAGAGGATAGGCGGATCAATCCGGTGTCTCGATCCCTGACTTTTTTAAGTGCATTAATGTGAACAAAGATACAGTTTGTCGCGAAATTTGAGGCATCGGTCGAGTAAGGCAACCATTCAGGTGACCACAACCCGACCACATCGTAACCAGACAAGTACGGTCATAGAAGCGAGAAAAGAAAAAAAAACACTGGGAGAACTGACATAGTCCCGGACGGAGTGGACGATGAATTGTGTAGGCCGCCTCACGTACCATGCCAGATAGTACTACTAATCCGGTTACAATAAGGAAACACTGATTTTCGGTGACTGTCCCACACTCGAAACGCATTTTTGTACACTTATCCGAGATAAATCGTAATGTCCTATCTTACACGAGGTTTGTCAATGAAAATCAACCATTTACTGCTTGAATATCAAATTCATCCGGTTACCCTGGGATCTGAATGTGGGAATTGAATTGTGCTTTGTTTTTCTCCGGTGCAGATAGAGCTGAATAAGTTATCCGGAAAGTGATTTGTGCGGTATGTTTTCGAGGAAACTGAAAAAATCGAATTGATTGTCATCTTACCTCTGATGCGCTAGCATCATTGTAGAAATTGAGAAAAAGCGTACCTTCATAAGTTGTTCGACCGACTGAAGAAACAGTACATAAGTGAGTAGTATCACTTGTCTGTTGCGTTTTGTGTAGTTTAAAACCATACACATATCCATGAATGAGGCTCTAGACACTAAGCATTGAAAGAAAGCGGTCTGAAGAAGATGAGAGCGTTGGAAAAACTCGATCAATATCTGTCTACGTAGTTATGTGCCCATGGTGGCGACGATCACTCTGGCCAAAATTCTTGCTATGCAACCCAGATGAAGCTCAAATATACACGTGCGCGATTGGTTTATCGATCCATTGATCAAGGTCACATACCACCACCCATTTCCTGTATCTTGGGGTGTTTGTGAGTGTACCGTCCAGGACAGAAACGAACCACTCAGAACTGCGCGTGAGCGCGTTATCACCTTCTTCGAGTACTGAGAACAGATTTGACAAGTCAGATCTATTTTGGCGGGTGACTTGTACGAAAACCGCCGTTTTAATCACTCTCCGTAATTCCCCTAAAATGAAACGAATATATGGTATTGGAATACACATTGAAGTTGCTTAATGAATCATTGTCATGAACCTTGATGAATCATTTTTGAGATATAAGTTTGACTTTCAAATAGATTCATTCAACTTTCTATTCCTCCTCTCTCCTACGCCTTCGTGCTCCACGAACAAATTCTATTCAATGACCATTTGGACTGAACAGATCAAGCTGGTTGTAAACACATATTTGGCTCGTCTCATGTTCATGAGTCCGCCTCAGCGTTCCCGTATTGTTGTACCAGACGATGATGAGGAGAGTTTGAACTCAGTCGGACAACTGTTTCGAGACGCGGAAATGCCCTCATCTCAGAGTCCATATCATCATTCCCCAGATATAGCCTTGTCCACTCTCGTCACCGCGACCACAACAACTCCGAATCAGACCGGTCCCGCGGTGGTCCCAAATGTCGCGGTATCCGAGAGTAGTCGTAAATTGGAAAAAATCCGAATCGGTGTCCCACCCCGGACCACAGTCAATGGCACGATCGGTACCACTCGACAGGGCAGTGATCCAGCACCGAGTAGTCAACGTGATCGGGTACAAGAACGATCGTCCCGGAGTCTGTTGGCCAATGTGCTAGACTTGGACGATGATTTTCGTGCTTCCGTTCTGGTCCCGGCCCAACAGTGGTCAAACAAAATGCCTATCCAATCCGGTC